TCACATTAAAATATATTGTGGAATTACAAACTAGCGTGACTTCTAATCGTCTGTTTGAGAAGGTATAAATCTCAAACAATATATATATATATATATATATATAAAGTGTGTTACGATAAATTGTATTCAGATTTTTATTCTGAAGAAAACAAAAAAAACATTTACATCAGTGCAATTACTCGACACAAAAGTTGTTCCAAACATTTCAACTAGACACGCCACTTACCCAGCTGCCTATATAAATAAAATGACGAATAACTTATACAAAAGAGTTTTAGTAAAGTAACATATAAATGTAATGTATTAGCCGAGCTATTGATTTATCACTTTTGTTCTCATCGCCATATTGAGAAAGTTTAACTAAGTAATCGGAAGGCAACAACTTTTAATTAATGGCTGAATTCAGTTTCACAAATCGTTTACGAATCTTCTATGTAATAAAGACGAGAGTAATATTAAATAGATTAGAATATTGTGAGATATTTTTTCTGATATAATGATAAGCATTGCGTCAGAAACAGCTCATTATACGTCACCCTAAGTTAAGGATGACTAGGCCATAGTCAACCACGCTGACACAGTGCGGTTTGACTTCACACATATCTTTGAATTTATTAACGGATATGTGCAGATTGCATTACGATGTTTCTTTTTATTTTGTCTTATATAACTTTATTTTATTCATTCTAAAGGTATTTTGAGGTTATCTTGTTAGTAATTTAAATATATACTTTTAAAAATTATTTTACAAATGAATCTCTTTATGAGAAATTAGAAATAATAGATTTGTCTTAGTTTCAAACCTCAAAGTTCTAGTTAGGTCCGTATCAAAGAATCGTAAGTACCATTTAAAATTTAATGAAAGTCGTTACTCGGCCGTGAGATTTATTTTTATAACATTTCTTCTTAACTTTTAATATTCGTTGTTATAAAAGTTAATGTATAATAAAATCATTTTAATGTTAGCTAGTACTTTTTGGGAAGTTATCTACATTTTGATATATCGTCGATTTCATCTTGCTTGCAACTTTGAATTCGGTAAGTAAAAAAATCTACATACATCAGGGGTGGCTGACTTGATGAGACCAAAGATCTACTGTTAACTAACGAATCCTGTGCGATCTACCAATTCCAAACTTCGTAAAATCTTATATCATAAGGTGGCAAACGACCGATGCATAGACATCCGAATTTGGACATTCTGTGCATACCTTTGTTCGAATGAGGAGAGGACGCAGAGAAAAAGGATACTTTAGGGGGAGGAAAAGAGGAGTAAAGTTATGTTTCTGGCTCGATAGACTACTTATAGTTGCGATCGACCGGTTGGACCCCTGAGACATATGATGTATGTATTTAGCAGGTATACGTATGTGGGTTTACAAATTATGTCGATTCTCATGTGACCTCCTCCTATAAGTGCGGCGATTATTGACAACCGTAGTAATTAAGTAAATAGTCATTACTAATGAGATAAATAGTATCTCGAGTACTAAATAATATTTAGTTGCCGCAACATTATTAGCTTAACAAGCTTTTATCAGATCTGGAATATTCACAAAGCCACAGCCGTCTAACTTCAAGCACGTTTCCCCGATCGATGTTAGCCGGATTTATAGATAGTTTAACTGCCAGTCATAAAGATATGATATGTATCCCGAATGTTTGTAAAAGCATTAGATAATGGGAATACGTTTAGAAAAGTATAAAAGTATCGATCTACGTCCGCGCGGAATTAAAAAAATATATAATTCGAGACCTGTGTTTTTCCAGACTACGTTTTTGTAAAATTTCAAAGAATTCCAGGCAGCATGTATGGTGATACCTTCTAACTACCATTCATTCATCCATCTATCCATCCCTTCATCCGTCCATTCGTCGACCCATCCATCTATCCATACATTCGTATATATAATGCTAGCAATCGCCGGCGACTTCGTCAGCGTGAGATCAAAAATAGATAGGAGACGATTACGACCTACTGAATATCCATATAAAATTTTATAAAAATCGAGCAAGCCGTTACGGAGGAGTATAGTAACTGACATTGTGATACGAAAATTTTATACAATAGATAAGATAAGAAGTAAGATGTTTATTGAAAAATGATTACTCTGTTCATCGCTACGCTTGATGAATTTTAAAACAAGAGATCAAGTAAAGACTTCATAAAAGCTTTATAATATATGAACATGACGGATAATTATAGTATAAATTTTGGAGTGCTCTCAATATTTAACTTTACGTTCATTGATCACCGACGTCACTCACAGCAATGACTAAGCTTTGATGTTAATAACTTTTCGATGTAATTATCTATCCAGTCAAAGAATTAAATTTCCTTTCCACTTCCCTTCCACTATGGGACGCAAATCGGGTAACACCTTAACGAAAATATTGCCATATCTCATTATATTTGGAACAAAAAAAAAGATACGACTGTTCGTAACATGGTTTAAATTTACAATTTTAAAGTAAAAATAAAATACGATCGTTTGAATAAAACTCTTGACTAACAAGCTTTAGTGGTTGTGTATGATTAAAATAAATCTATACAGTAAATAAAATTATAACAATAGGAAAATTCAATAAAAGCGTTGGTGGCTCAGGGGTTAGGCATTTGCCACCTGCAGGTCCTGGGTTTGAATCCCGCCATGTCTCATCTGCGAAGAAATTCCCGTCCCGAAGTCAACACTGGTTCAGTGTGGCTTACTATGGCGTAGTCACCCCCAACTTAGGGTAGACGCCAAGATACTCATTGTGAACGTATAGTGAGCTGACGATGATATCAATAAAACTTTAATTAAAAATTATATTTTACAAAAATTACACGTCTTAAAAGATTTCGTAATATGTTAGAAGTATTTTCTGTTTTAGATGAAACATTCATAGCTCGCTTTGTATCTTTGGAATTATTGTAAAAAGCTAACACTGAATATTTTGTATAAATTTCTGATTATCACACAAGAGTTTCAGTAGAGACATTTTACTTTATCATTTTAATTTCTCGTTAAAACTCAAAGCAAATATCTCTACTAAGATGTAATGCGAAACAAGATTCATAAACATTCGCGAAATTAAAACATTCTTTTTAATTAAAATACTGTAAAACAGCATATATAGCAAGGATAGTATAAAGGCTGTTCAAATATTAGCTGAAACGAAATTTAAATTGCCGCTATTTTAAAAGTATAGTGCGACTAAGTAATTTGATACTAAAAAAAATGTAGCTTATATTCAGTAGTTTCTTAGCACACCCTGCTGATGTCAAAAGTGTCTCACAAGATCCGAGTCATATCTTGTCAAAGTCATATCTTGTTTTATGTTGCATTTTCTGTGCTCTTATGTTTTACGAACTTTCTGCCAGAACCGCGATAAAAGCGCGGACCAAACATTTTTGTCGCAGTATAAAATCGAAGCTCCGATTGACGCTGGTTCAAACCGGATATTACGCAGGTGTATCGGTGTTTGTGATTGAACAGTGGTCACACGAAATTGTCGTTTCGTTTATACAATAAACGTTCAGGTATTAACACATCGATGCTTTTGAATGATTCGTTTTGAAACATCACAGAGAGCTTACGGTCGTAAGCTCACTGATATTCAGATTGCATATGCTGTTTGAAATTCTCTATACCTTGTACTAGTTTACACGAGGGCAGAATAGTGTAGAAGTGCAGTATGACACCGAAGCAGTCCTATTGCTTCATACGAGATAGTACAGAGTCTGGTTTTGAGAGTAAGTAAACGTTCACTAGAAGTACTGCACTGCTCTACTGTTTTGCCGTCGTGTGAAACTAGCATTCGATTATCGTTGCCTAAACTAACCTGTAATAATTATTTCGATACTGAACCTATCAATTTCCTTTTGATGGTATCGTGAATAGAAATTATGTTATTGGTAGCAATTAGTGAAGAATATAAACGATAGAGGTCGCCCGCAACTTCGTCGGCGCAGAAAAAATATCCTACAATTTACCCGAATCTATCCAAGCACACCTTCCGTAAAAGTCTCTTCAAAAAGGGGCCAGCCATTTAGGAGATTACCCGGAACATGCGGTCTTGCGGACGGACAGACGTACAGACCAAAATTTAAAAAATTATATTTCAATTTCATCATCATCATCAGCTCGTCCCCACTGAGAGAGCTCAGAGCCTACCCTTAGTTATGGGTGACTAGGCTATTATCAACCACGCTGGCCCAGTGCGGGTTGGGTTGGTTGACTTCACACATAACTTTGAATTTCTTCGCAAATATGTGTATTACGATTTATCAATAATAATCCAATTTCATTATTCTATACAAATATATAGAAAAAATATTTAAGCAAGCAATTCTATCCAATTATGAGGAAAACAAAAGACATCGATTATTCTTCGAGTATCAGAAACGATTCAACGGCAAGTTTTATATCAGTCTAATATTATATTACAATTTATCATGGAACAAAACAAAAATAAGACCAGATAGGAGATTCAAATATTAATTTCTTTATGAATATAAATCTATTTCGTCGTAGCGATGTGCAGTATTTAATTTTACTGAACAGGATATTACGTTTCACATTTTCTTCTAAACTCCTTTTCTTTCTTGAATCGTGAAATGAAAATAGCTGCAGTTTTACATTTCAATAATACAGCGCTAACTGAACCCAGCCTGCATTGCAATGTCACGTAAATTAAAACGAAATCTTATGACGGGATTCTTTTCTGATGTTATTAGAAATCCTAAAGCTTAATCCTAATAATAATGAGTTTTTTTTAGTGATTAAAAATACGTAGAGGACAAAAAAAATTATAACAAAAAACTTAATTTGAAATTGAAAATCTTATTTTGCTAGCCAAAGCAAACATAATGACTTAAAAAAATAGTTTTTAATAATTATTACTTTTGGGTTTAGTAACGACTTATTTCCTCCAATTTATTTGAAGATTTAGAGGGTCAATTGTGGGCGAAGTTAAATTGATTGACCAAAAAAAAACAAAATAGTTGATGTGATTTTTTTGTTTTAATTACGATTCTTTGACATTATTAAACAAAAGCTTAGGAACTAAAAATATTTATCTGTACTGCTGTTACAAGTTTGGAATTCGTCTTCCGTATATATTATTATATGCATAAGGTGCGAGTTTTTTATACTTTTCATCTGTTTGGAACTTAGCAAGTAATATCGGCCAATTTTTCTCACTGTCTTGAATGTTTGGATTCGCTTCCATTCTTTGTCGAAGTTTTGCGGCTTTAGCTATGACTTCTGCGTTTAACATGTTTTCAAGATATCTTAATTTGTGAGGCAGAACAATTTTACATATCTGGAACAAAAGGAAAACAGCAACTGAATGAGGTTATAGAATAGAAAGGTAAAAGGAAGAAAAAAAAATTTTTTTTTGACCATGCCTCTGTGTTAAATGGCGTGAATTGCCTATGTTATTGTTTTGTAAATCATAAGGTATATAAGATCATCATTTTTCAGTATATGCTTAAAAAAGATGGAGGATTTGAATGATTAATTTATAAAATGTGTCCGTAACATTTTGTATAAATAAAGATTTGCTCGGAAACAAAATTAATTAGCATTTCATTCGGTATACACTCGAGATTCAAAGGATGTTTGTGGTGCGCGAATTCAGTGTTTCAAAATCATCTAAAAACATATTATATGTAAATTTTTGTTATGTTTAACATAATAAGCTATATTTTAAATTGATTACCAAATATTTATAAACTTTGAATAAAAAAAAATTTAAACTCCGTATAAATTTTAAAGAGTATTTGTTAGTTTTCTCGTAAAATAAGTAAAAAAATTACAAAATCACATTAGAAATAAAAATTAAAATATTTTCCTTAAAAAAACAAAAAAAGAATGGTTTAGGTTCCACCGAGATTTGAACTCGGATCGCTGGATTCAAAGTCCAGAGTGCTAACCATTACACCATGGAACCCTGTGATAGAAGTATTCAATTCAATGAACAGTACCGTCGAATGACCTACTTTTGTTGCTTGGAAATAAATTCCCTTTATAATAGAAGTTCAAGGTGAGTTTAACAAACTTATTTGCTACAGCGTCGCATCTCTGATTTCAGGGATATTAAGTTAGCAATTCCTTCGCGACTTTGATCTTAGATTTCAAGTTATTTATTTAATTAGTAGTTTAAATTATTATGATTATTTCTAAAACTAATTCGAATTAAAGTTAATAAAATTATAACAAGATATATTGAATAGAAAATATAAGTCTGTAAATTTTTTAATACAGTGTGAAAAAGTAAGAATATTTCAGTTTTTTTTATTTTTTTGGACATGTCGACTAATCAAATAAATTAATATCTGTGCATATACAATTTGTTAAATCAAGCCTGTAGCAAACTACGCGAAAATGATTTAGAACCGACGATAAGCCTGAATCGTTGTACATAACAATAAAGCAAAAATAATATGCAGATTGCTTTAAATTAGATTCAAGAATCTAGCTGCTAAATTCGCTGGTGTGATCCAAATCCATATCACGTTCATATCAAATTTAGATTCGCTTCAATTTCAGTTCCATGGCGCTGTGTTCCCTTAGCGTATCGATTGCAATAATTTCGACGCGCCCTAGTAATAAAACAGTTCGATGCGCCCGTTGGTTTGTAAAACAGTACGGAATGTTTTCAATTTAGTGGTTAAGCTTATGTTGGATTTACCGTGAATATTATTCATGTTATTTACACTCTTCAAATTTCTCTTTAATCAATGATATTTAGTATATGCTGTTGCCAACAGATTACATACAGGGAATAACAAAATAATATAAAAATACAACATTAGTTCTAAAATCACAAGATGTGTTTATTAAGAAAGTTAAAAGTCGACAAAAACGTTATAACATTGCGTAAACTTTTGTTCATTCCACGTTCATTTAAATAAAACTTTTAAATATGCAACTTAAAGATACAAGGTGACCTTGAACAGAAATCTGGATATGAAAACATTTGAGTACCTGTTTACTACGCCTTGGCGTAGGACACGACGCCCGCCGTCTGGACAACAATACTTAAAGTTTTTACACACTTGCGGTCAGTTTAAACGAGCAGTGCTTTTGCTAGCAATGTTGCGGTCACAAATACCCTCATGTTTTTCGTATTTTCGAGATTAAAATGTATGTTTGTCTGAGAATCACAAACAGAAAACTTTCCACCTTGCATTTGTTTTAAACTTATTCTCATCAAATATTCCCTAAAACATTTGTTAATGCTCGTTGGCAGTGTGTCTACCTCATCAAAGAGGGCACCTTAATTAGAAATTTAAAGCTTTAAACGCTACATTTTTACGCGCAGTTTGTAAAGCTTAGCGTTAAAGGACTTCTTTGCTTTGTGTAAAATAATTCTATAAACACTTTGTCTTTGATTCATTATTTTTTTTTCTGTTCATACCATGTTGATTGAAAATGTATACCGTATACAACTCTATTACTTTTCGTACTGTTACAATAATAAAAAAAAACGAACCATCTATTTGAATTCTCAACATATTCCTCGAATATGAATATTCATTGGGTATTCCTATTTCATGGGTTGGTACTGTACATCCATTTGCGATTCGTATTTCTATAAAGACTTGTTACGTTACGTTGAAGTATCACTATATTCATTTAACCGCTTGACCTGTTTTCAAGCTTTTCGACTTCTAGTCTTCCTCGAATTGAGTGGAAAGGTGGAGCTATTTTTTTTAATTACTCGTCATTACGTACCTATCGAGTATAGTTTAAATTTAGCTAGACCTGCGGCAACAACGCTGGTTAACTGCGAATTGATTGACAAGCGTACAAATATAAAATTCGAAAAATATCGAAGCGGGAATCGAAGCGGTGACCATGTCACTACGCTACCGACACTGTCTAGTAAAGAAAGATGTTTGTAATGGAAAATATAGGTGCTTAAAAAGATTTTACCGGCATTATAACTTGGGATATTAATCATATAGTTATATTGGTTGCTAAGATAACTGATCGGTTTTAATTGGCAGCAACTTGTTAGCTGTCAATAATTTCATCAAGATACGGAGTGACGGGTGGGATAATAGGCGTGAATACAATATGTATACAATTCCACATCTGTATAGTTAGCTTACATCCCGTTTATCCTACTAACGAGTTTTCCTCGAAGTGAGGAATATATCTCTGACTAACGTTTCAATATTTCAAACGATTCATTTTATATTAATAAACTAAAGTAACATAATTAAACCACTATTTTTTTTTAATAGTTGTCTTCAATACATCTTAAGATCGATTATATTTTTAAGTTTATTTCTTTTTATTCGTTTTTTTCAAAGAAAATGAGCTCGTATTACAAATATAACTGTTCTCCCTTTTACAATTTTATGGTACTAGCTATCGCTCGCGACTCCGTACGCGCGGTATTAAAAAAAAACTTAATTAGTAGCCTATGTGTTCTTCCAGACTTTGTTCTATATGAATGTCAAGTATCATCGAGATCCGTTAAGCCGGCGATATCTTCAAACAGACATCCAACCAAACATTCGTATTTATAATATTAGTACGTTTGGTCATGAATAGAAAAGTGCAAAGTTTTCATGTTTCTAGAACATTTGGCTTGTATATTTAAATCATATTGTTACTGTAACTTGACTGCATATTACATTTATGATTTATGTTTTCGCGAGGGCGTATTTCTAACAATTCTCTATTCTGAATAACATGAACTTGTATTGTAGTTGCTGAGTTCGCACTGCCGAAACATTAACGTCATAAAATGTAATATTATTTTTTTAATCGTCAATAATCGAATAAAAACACTTTCATATAGTAACATACGAATAATAATAGTTAGGGAAAGATATACTGAATTTGCGGGCGCAGTTTAGAATTCTACTATTTGACTTGTAAATCATACCATACCACAAATTTCTAGTTTATTTGATATATCATGTCTATAGACAAGAAATATTGTTAAACTGATATATAAACACGGCTACTTCGCGGCTTACTTTGCGGACGGGGCCCATATAATAATACCAGTACCACTCATCCTGATGAAGGGCCCCCGATGGGCTCGAAACTAGTCGGTGCCGCCACCGGACGAATATACGTGAGTGTTTAGCCGTGTTTATATATCAGTTTAGTATAATGTCTCACGAAAGTTTGAATAATTTAAATATTGTTAAATATAAAAGAAAATTCTAACTCAATTGTTCTACTGCTTACCTGATTAGGTGCTACCTGAAAAGTAATACATATTAACGCTTGAGACATCTTTGGATATGCAAAGTAACATAGTATAGCTACATAAAGTAATTAAAGTCAACTGAATTGCCTCTTTGTCTCAAATTAATTAAAAACGCCTAATATGTAAGATTCAATTTTGTACAATTAAACATCTGTACAAATAATATATCGTTATCTTAGTTCTTCTTAAAGAAAATGAAAGAGATGACGTAATTGGTAGGCCAATCGACTCAACGGGACATACCTACTATGTATGTATTTGCACACTTGTCACGATAGAGGATGCCCTCATTATCGATATTAAATAATAGGTAAACTTTAATTAAAAACAAAAAAGTAATGAGATTGAATGAGCAAGGCTACTGTTAAGAAGAAAATCTGATACTGTGCTGGTGTAGTGGCGCAACACTAGCTTTACTAAAACGTCGAAGTGTATGTCCCTTCACAATCATTCTGACACTTGACTTTGTAACGAAAGCGCGCAATTCGCGCCAAAGGATCCTATCTAATAATCAAAAACTATAAAGGTAGAGGAAGGTCAAATAAATTTTGGATGGATTGTGTGAAAGACGATATGTCTGCTGTGGGCGGTGGATAAGGGTAGGTTGATGATGATGATGACGATACGTTAATTGATACGTGAAATAATCAAAAATATTATAACAAGTAACGATTCAACACATCGTATAAAGGAAGTGATGTGTTATTCAATAAAACTAAGATGTCTTATTATCGCTAATTGGGTGCACGGTCCCTCGTAACGTACCAACCAGCGTCTATAGTTTTAAGCTTACCCTCTTCGTAGGCATTTCAGTTTAAAAAAAAACGATGAAAAGATTTCGATCGTACTTTATACTTGAACACATTTAATTCTAAAAGAAATGCGTTATAATTATTTGTCATGTTTTTTTACACAATTCGGCTAAAGCTACGTTCATTTATTTTTATTACTCTTTGCATTCTGATATGTGCCGTATTGTAATTTTAAGAATTAAAAAAAACAAATGACGATATTGGTGTGATATATCGTTAATATTCCCGTTAAATTATAAAATTGTGTACCTATTTGTTGTGTAAGAGTTTAAACGTAGCGTAGTGCAGGTTTGAGAAGTTTCAAAACGTATTAAGTTATTACTAAGTTAGTTGTTACTATGTATTAACATATATGGTATATACTTAACAAATAAATAGTTGTCAATGAAAATTATTATAAAATATCATATTTAAAAGTAGAAAAAATTAACAAAATTACTTACAGTATTCGCGAAGAAGCTGAGAAGTAAAATTGAAAGGACGATTGTTGTTTGTGCCATGGCCTAAAGTGAATTACAAATAGTCGAACGAAAAGTATACTTTTGTTCACCTTATCAGCGTCTTGCAAGAAAGTTTATAAAACGAACAGTAATGTGTTTATGAAATATTAGTGTAGAAAGAAAACTAATGGCGTATGCTTGTTCAAAATTGTAGCATTAAGACAAAGCATTCGATACGGAGTTAACAAAGAAAATTTTATCCATTTTATAAGATGGGTTCAAGGGAAGTTAGATTATAGGGGCAACGTTCTTTTGTTTTATAAAATACCTTTACCTATAAATTCGAGCTCAAGGTTAATTAAATTAGGATTAATGAAAAATGTTTTATAGATAATTGATGTACGAAAAATTGACTTATGAAATCTTACTAATATAATATTAATAAAAAGCGAATGTTTGGATGGATGGATGATTGTTTGAACGTATCTACAAAACGGATGCATGTATGCTAAAATTTGACACAGATGTTATAATATACATATATTAGGTATCTATCATAGTCTCGAAAAATACAAACGCTACTAATACAGTTTTATTTTGATGTCGGGCGGACGGAGTCGCAGTCGACAGCTAGTATGAAAAAAATGGAAAAGAAATCTTTAAGTACGACAATTGCCCTTAATTTAATAGCATCGTTAGAAAAGATTAAGAAATATTCGGTATCATAATAATATATTGAAACATCCTATGATCAAATAAAGCACCCAATATTTAGGGTTCCGTACATCGATGTGAAAAAAACGTAACCCTTATATGATCATTTTGTTGTCCGTCCGTCCGTGTGTGTCATGACCCTTTTTTCACTTTTATAAGGCTGTTCAGTAGTAAAATTATAGAATTAAATAGGATATGAGAGATGCTATTAGTTCGTTTCCAACTTCAAAGAATCACATTCTAAAGGCACGGCTTTTTTTCTACGCTATTGCATTTAAAATATGAGAGTAATTTTTATTAACATAAAATACGAATACGTTAAAATTTAACATAAACCACTACATTCATAATGAACAACTCATCGGATATATCGGATTACTTGTTCGTTGAATTTTACTAATTAGGTCGTTATAATTAACGAAATATCACTATTCCTAAAAGATAAATATTTTCGATGCCGATCCAGTTTGTTTAATATAACATTATATGAACAAGTCTTATATAGTTTTCATACTTTTTTGTCAGCGAATTAAGACAAACGAGACAAAAATCGAAGCGATAAAAAAAGATAATTAGTAGCCTATGTGTTCTTCCAAACTATGGTAATGTATGCCAAATTTCATCCTGATTCGTCCTTCAAACAAACATCCATCCAACTCCGACTCGCTAATTCCGGCATCAACCCCACGTCGTGGTGGTGGGCAAGGAGTAAACGTCCCGAAGAACGAGAAGCAGAGTGGTGCTAAGTGGACGTGGCGTTTGACAATGCACGTTAACCTTTAATCATTTTTATAATGTTTATATTTGAAAAGGAAAATTACGCGACGAATTTTTATAACAAGTAACTTATGAGTCAACTTAACTATTCAATAGTAGGACTTTAGTATAGTGGTAGGACAACTTATTTGTTCCTAAGCAAATACTTATGTAAATGAAGACCCAGCGCTTATTTAGTAGTCAATGTTTCCATAGAATTTAATCTCTCTGTCTCGAAATATTCAAACACAAATTTATGTATATTATTTAGGCCAGTATTTACGATTTTATTGATTCTTCACGTAACTTTATAAAATTATCTTTGCTGTTTTGTACAGCCATGAAATGCCCACTGCTGGGCACAAATGTCTTTGGGGAGGCCCAGGCCTAACACTAACTACCCTATAAATATTGTATAACTGATGTGACCTGATATATAGATTTATTGAAAGAGATTTCTAGTCGTTTGCTTTGTAGCTAATTCAATGTATAAATACGAATTAGTGCATGTTCTCTTTGAAGGTGAGTTAGAGTTTCCGATAACGTCACCTGCAGTAGAGAGAATATTAGATTAAGGTATTTGCAATTTCTCAGATTTCTACCGTTTCTACTGTTGAATCGCATGTAATTCGGTTACATTACAATGAATAGATTGTTTCTGACGAAGGTCAGATATCTGTGACGTCTTCGGAAAGTTGCTAAAATCTACCACTGGCAGTGGTAAAATATAATAAAATGCTGTTTATTAACAAAAATCTTTCTTAATAATATTTATCATTTTTTTTCAAAGAAACACAAATAATACCTCTTACAATATTAGACGCAAAATATCGTTTCTATGAATGTTTCATTATTTACAACTAGCTGTCGCCCGCGGTTCCCTCTACGCGGAATTTAAAAAAAACTTAATAAGTAGCCTATGTGTTCTTCCAGATTATATTCTACATCCATGCCAAATTTCATCATGACCATTTAAGTCGTTCCGGAGATGCCTTGAAACAAGCATCCATACATCTCAACATTCGCATTTATATTATTAGTTATTTCCAATAACAAATATATTTTCTAATGCTCTTGACGTCTGGAAAAATTGTAAACCCTCGAACATAAGTCGATTTTAATGATGAACATTTACGTAGAAATGTTACGAGAGCGTCTAGGTGCTATATTTATATTATTCCTTTCTCATGAAACTTGGCAATATTTTACTTTCTTAGAAGGTACGAAATAAACATGTTATAATGAGTATGCAATCCTCTACAATAGCTGTTTCGCGCAATTTTCTCCTCATGCTTCTGTTTTTAGCTCTTAATGACTATAAGCTAATTATTGTTTGGTTATTCTATTGTATTCTCTGAAACATACTTTATTATATAAATAAAATATTAAATTCGATAAGACATCGTAGATCGTTGTGTCATCAAGAAAATTTTATTGCTGCTGGGATCTTTAGATCCGTTTAAGAACAAAATTAATTAAGTACCGAATACCTTTTCTCTTTTCCTACTATTCCTTCCCTTTCCCTAGTGGACAAATATTTTCTTTCGAAGGACAATAAAGTAACTAATTTTTGACAATACTAGCTGTCGCGCGCGACTCCGTCCGCGCGGGATTAAAAATAGATGTTGGCCGATTCTCAGACCTACTCATATGCTCACAAAATTTCATAAGAATCGGTCAAGCCGTTTCGAAGGAGTATATAAACGAAAATTGTGACACGAGAATTTTATATAAGACTTTTATTACCAAGTCAAGTGACAGAGGGATTAGTGAGGGGACATAAACGTCGACATTTTAGTAAGGCTAGTGTTGTGCCAATACACCGGCACAGAGTTGGATTTTCTTCCTAACACTAATTAGAATAAAATGGATCTAACGTTTATCATAGATAGGATAGACACTTTATACTTCTTTGGTAATGTTTAATTCGTTAGCGTTATCCCAGAAAATAAATCGATTTTGTAATAAGATATGTTTTTGTTGTATTACTTTGTTATGTTTGGAGTCAAAACATGGCTAAATAGAGTTATTTTATAATTAAAATTTTAATTTACGATAACAAAGAAGATCAAAATCAATTAACTAGCGGTCTATTAAAACCTTCGCGATGTCACGGACCTTGCTACTTAATTTCACTGTAACAAACAAATAGACCAAAGTTGCTTTTATGGAAACCTTATGACCGTTCCCTTTCATTATATAAGATTCTATAGTTGCATTGGTGAGTTGTTTCTTTAATTAAAATTGATTTATACTTCGACATTTGAAAGTCAATAACCTTTGTAAAAAAATTATCATTCACCTCTGTTGCAAATACTTTTTCATTGTCACTAACAAAACTTGACAATGACATTAAATGATAATGAAAATTTAAACATATTAATACTACACTAGATAAAATGAAATGGTTATTTTTGCAAAGCGTACGGTTTTCCAAAGTACGGGAATTGTTCAATCCAATGATTTGCGGTTGACCTTTACTTCTCCAACTTTCATGAGTGCAGTTGAGCTTAATGAAATAAGGTTGTATTATTGTTTCAGTTCAATTAAAATAAATTGTAGTTTCTATTTGTAATTAAGATGTCATTGGGACAATATTATCGATTTTTATCGAATAAACCAAGTAATCTATCCTTAAAATCGATTTGCAGATTTTTTTTTTGTTCACCGATTTTTGGTTTATCGTTTATAAGGATTTGCAGATGTGTACTTACATTTAATCGACAAGAGATTATTATTGCGATCTGCACATCGTTATATTAATTATTTGAGTTAAATATTACGTATGTTACATTCTTTTTATTAGATGTTGTGTAATAAAATTCCCCTAGCGTAAGAATGGATTCAAGGGATTTGCATGAAAAGCCAATTAATTCAGTCCCCTGCCTTTTTTCTGCTGCTGTTTTATCATGGTGTCGATATAATTGTTGTAGGCGTGGGCGTTGCGTTGCTTTAAAGCGCTTTTCTCGCTACATATGCTCATAAATTACAACGAGCCACGTTCCTCTATTATAATACTTAATGAATATAAGTTTGCACGTGTATACAAGATTATTAAACTATTACAATGCAGTACCATTTTTGTTTATTCAACTATCCCTAATAACAATCATTTTGCTTTTAGGAAAAACACAAATGATACAAAAAAAAACATTTTTATGTTACTTAAGTTTATGACTTGTTTTAAATTCGAATTCTTTATTTGATAATTTTCAAGACACCCTAAAACCAGCTATGTATCATACTAATATTATAAATGCGAAAGCTTGGATGGATCGATGAATGTTAGTATATCTTTGAAACTTGGTACAGCTGAAGAACATAGTATGGAAAAAGATATAGGCTACTAATTAAGTTTTTTATTCCGTACTGACGGAGTAGCGATAGCTAGATTTTTATACAAAAGATTTTTAGCTTAAATAGTACCATAAGACTTATCTTTTGTTTTGGTAAAATTAATATTACGAATAGACCCTGTGGTAGTTTTACTTCCATTGCAAGTAGACCATTAAACAGATTATTATCAAATTGTGAAGTCTGAATGTCAAAAGACAATGCAATTAAGGTCCTAGATTCTTGGAAAGGATTATTCCAGAGGCTTTTTATAA